TAAATCATTTCAAAGTTCACATTATAAACAAATCCCTAATTTGGGTCTATACTCTGGTTCCCCAAATTAAGATCATACAGTAAGTCAACATATTGGATTTATCTCTATGAGATTTATCCAGATTGTGATATTGGATATCAATATATGTTTTATTTTGGCCCAAAGCCCAACAACAATTTATTTTAATCAAAACAAATTTGATTAATTGAATAATTATTCATTAATAATTCTAGGGTATATTTTGGGGCGTTACATTTCTTCCCCCCTTAAAAGGAATTTCGTCCCTGAAATTCTTTTGAGGTTCCACAGTCGATATCTTGTTGTATTTACGACAATCATGACCGCGTCAGGTTAAACTATAATTACGTCATTATCCACACGGATACGTATTCTCGATGTTTATCAAACTCGTTCTTTCTTCAAGAGATTAACAATCTTAGATTAAGAAAGGTTTCCAACGATCCTTTTGCGGGTTCCCGGTCAAATTCAACCTCCATAACTTAGGTTCCTTTGTACGGTATAACATCGTATTTTGGAGCATATTTAACATATTTGCACATCACTTCGTTCATTCACAAGTCTCGATTGTACGTCATTACTCAACAACATTCCTTCTTTGATTGAAAGTTCTTCAATAGCCTTTGTAGTTTCGAATCATCACCTTCACGATAGGTAAAAGTAAATAAAGTATAAAAACTTATATTTATAACTTATACTTATAGATAAACTTAGTAAGTAAAAACTTATGCTAATATAACACAAAAGGGGGGGTGTTGGATAAAAAGTAAATATTTTTTTGGTTTTTTATATTTTCTTATTTTTCTGGTTTTTTTGATCAAATGGGGGAAAACAAGCTTAAAGGATAATCAACTACTTGAACATTACACGTATAAAAGGCACGTAGACAATATATTACGTAACTTACGCACTTAAGAATAGAAAATAATTCAAAGGCTCGAGTTGAAACATATCATTGACCACATATAGAGGATCGTCAACTCTCTATAAGGCCCGGAGTCATGTAATTCAAAGGCCTTTTGGATCACTTTGAACCCCAACTCACCTCAAGCGCTCAAACAATGATTCCAAAAGATGAAAAAGTTTATAAAAGAGTGAATCTTTCTTTCATTCTAACTCCCTGCATAATTTATCCACAAAGAATATTTATACACTTTAATAAACTTTAATGTCTAATGATGAAAATATTTTGCAGGTCTCCTTGAATTACTCCAGCATAAGAATTGTAATCTATTCACATAAGACAAACATTACATATTTTCATTAAATCAAGAGTTGTTTATTGTATTTAAACAATCCCAATTTTTATGAAAATAACAAACAAGAACACCAAGATTTAAAAAATCACTCTATAACGAATCTTAAAGAAAACGTTCAACTTATAGGGCTAAGAAGTTCATACCTTAAAATTTTACAAAACAGAAGTCACAAAAAAGATTCACGTATGAATTCGAGAATCATTTAACTAAAATATGGAGCTAAATTAGCTTCAATGATAACCGAATTCGACATACCAACCTACTTATGAATTCAAATTTATAATTCAACCACACTACAAGAAAATTGGTGTTTAGCCTCATTTAATTCGCCGCACTTAACCAAGTGTGGTAACAAAATTTAACTGTTTATGATATTGCGGCACTTATAAGAGAGGTTATTAGTGATTTCATATACCCACATAACTAAGTGTGCCAAAAATCAAATAAATTTTTCATAATCAAATATTTGAAATTTAGAAAATTAAAAGAATATAGTGCAGCACCCACTTTTTCCATCTATACCTACGCCTAATTAAAAAAACTCCCCTTATGTTTTACTCCGTAATTCCAGCGCCCCATTTTTCATTCATTCACCTCTGATCTAAACCTAATTCATCAATTCTTTCTGTAATTCATTCAGATTGCCTTCAATTAGTGAATTTTCCGCAGTGCGCATTAGTTTCCTTCGCCTTCAATTCATTGATATCAATTGGATTTTCTGCAGTGTGCATCGCTTTGGTTTGCCTTCAATCCGTTGATATCAATCGCCTTAGGACCCATCGATTTTAAAAAATCTAACATATGAGAGCGGTTCATTTTCAGTTTTAGTTCTCTGGCGCATCGCTCGTTCGTTTAGCCTCATCGAGATCATCGTCCTCAGTTTCTGCTTCGTCTCTTCGCCATCATCTGGCCTGATCAATTCATTGAGGTATTAATTTTAATTTCATCCCTTGAAATTAGATTGTAGGTTTTGTGTTATATTTGGGTTTAACCAATAAATCCCAGAAGAGAGAAGACAACTTCAGAAACGAGAGAATCCTAGAACCATTCTTCTTCTCCTTCTTCGGTTCATCACGCGTGAGACATGAGAACAGAGATGGCAACTACGGGTAGAAAAGATGTCAAGGGTTTGAAATTCTAGCACCCGACTATGGATCTCCAAGGTATGAAGCAACATTTAGCGATGGAGGAACCAAAATAGAGATAAACTTGAGAAGCTACCACGAGCGTCCACTTCAAGATGAAGAACTTAAACAAAGCCAAATCTTTAAAAAATCTAGGTAGCATCCAAGGGTGTTTTTGAGGGTATAGTCTTCAAGTCCATAGGTTTTCTACATTTTCCTCTTTGTTCATGTGTTTATTTCGTTTATCTACTTCAATTTTAGTATTAGTGTGATTTTTTAGGGCTTGACCAGATTTGGAATTATTTTTAATCCTGTTACATGATTTTTATATGCTTTTTTTAAACATTCAAGCAAAATTTTATATGTTAATGGGTAGTTGATAATTTTGAGCTTCTCTTTGTTTCAGGTTAGTTGTTGTGATTTTGTTGCTATGGGATTGATGTACAGTCTTTGTTGTTGCACAACTGGTTCCGGTTGCTAGTTCTGTTGGTGTAGGCTTTTCTTTTTTATAGTCTGAGTATGTTCAAGGATTTAGTTTTTATTTGTTCTTGCAGCTTAATGACTTGGTTTTGGATAAGACCTTGGACACCTCATTCAAGTTTTGCAAAGCCATTGGTATTTTATGCCTCTGATGGAGACTATGGCGAATGGCTGTAAATTTAACTTTAGTTTGCTGGTATGAGGTATGAATAAGCTACCTATGTTCTATAGTTTAAAAGGCTACTGATCTAACTATAATATTGATTTGAGTATATGGCTTCAATGTTTTTGGTTTGAGCATATGGCTTCAATGTTGGAAAATTCTAATTGATGCTGGATTGCAACATGGTTCTTAGGTTGAAACTTGCTTTATAATGAACTTCTCATCTCCTTATTCAGACTCTAAAGTAAACGCACACAATTGTTCAGTTTGACAACACCCTCCTAATGGTGCAGGGATATCATGATGGCAAATTAGAATGTTAGTGACTGTATACCAACATCTGACGAGGCAAATCCGTTAGCATCACATCTTGACCGCAGCACAATCAACACTTTGCCCCGGCCAAGTGAAGTGGATTTCATCATTGCTTGTCCTCCAGCCCTCCTTGTCAGGTATGATATATATTCCTTTGCCATTGATAGTAAAGTTCACTATTTAATTGCTACGGAGCAATGATTTTAAAAAATCCATCTGAGCTTCTCTGTCTGCAGGGGTTTTCTTTATTGACAGGCACAATAAGAGTTCAGTGAGTGATGTTGATGCATAATGATCTTGTCGCTTTATCCTTTGTTGATTACTTCAGGCCCAAGTTTCTGCTCATTGAAAACGCCAGGAATCTCGTTTCATTTCATAATATGAATCCATTTCAGCTAATTATATCTTCACTTCTTGAAATGGGTTATCAGGTATGTAGATATAATCATATAATGTACACCAGTCTTAAAAAGAGATTCTAGTGTCAAAGTGTCTTTGTCCAGAAAATAAAGTATCAAACTACTTTTTAGTGTAATATCTTATACAAAAAGACACAGACACGTTACATATGCTAAATTTAGTCAAACAATAACTAATTTTTTTCAAAAACATGTGTAGGGTTCATGATCCACATAAACAACCTGTTTTTTTCCTTAATAAGAAATACTCATTTACGTTTATGGTTAAGTATTAATCATATAAACTTATAAAGCATTAGAGTTCTCTTCCCATAGAAAAGTGTGTGGGTGTGTATTGTGTATTGTGTACTGTGCGTGCATATCTGGATTCTGGTGCAACTTCAACCTGACTAGAGTTCTTTTTCTCTTTCTTTATGTGCGGGCAAGTGAGGTTTGGAGTACTCCAAGAAGCGGTATTCTATGGTGTAGCACAATTTGGGACTAGTGACTTTATTTTGGTTCTAAATATAACAAAACAAGACCCACTGCAATACCTTGGAGTTGAGGCAATTTTGGCAACACTACTCTGTACATTTTTCTTCATCTATGACAACGCTGACAATTGCAACAGTATGTTTGGAGCAACTATTGGCATTAGGTCACAGTTTAATGAAGTTTGGAGTTAAGATTCTTTGTTTTGGTCATTGATTTTTGGCTTAAGAATACAATGCAGAATATGTCTTTTGTGTTTAGCTTTAATTCTATTGTTGGTTTAGGACATTACATTGAAGGTCAAGGCACATTTGCAGTCATAGTTAATTTTCGATTAGATTTGGTTCTAAGTTTGCTTGGTGTAATTTGTATATCTTTTTGAGGGGCTTTAGTTCGGTCCTCCCCTTTTAATACACTATTTTAATATAATAAACTCCTTTTTACTTATTTATATTTGTAAGAGTGTACATATATAATATGGGGCTTTTTCCCATTTTATGAAGAAATTAGTTTTTTTTTAAATACATATGCAAAAAAATAACCAAAATTACCCACAATATTAGTTGAAATTTAAAAGTTATTTGCATGGTTGTAGTTTGCCGCATATATAAGTGTAGATACAAGCCCTTAATTGTTTACAATGGAATGTTTTTCCCCGCATTTGTAAGTGTGGCGTTGTAGCAACACATATATGTGTTTTTCCCCGCATTTGTAAGTGTGGCTAGTATGTTCATTAGCCGCACTTATTAGAAGTGCGGAAAATATTTCCCCAGACTGCTGTTCGGCACACTTACCTCTTGTGTGGCAAAAAAAGCCCCCGCACTTATATATGCGGCGAAAAACAAATTTAAGTGCGGTTAAAGACCACATCTCTTGTAGTACCAATTTAACATCAATTTGCACAAAAATTGAAGAAAACTGATATGAATCAATTCTCATTTATAAGGGATTTATTGTAAACATTAAAAAAACCATAAAAGAACACCAACCATATTTTTTTAGAATTTTCAAAATTAATGCAAACAAGGAAAAAAAATGTAAAAATTAAAATGAAACAACACTTTTACATAGAAAATTGGAGAAGAAAAAGAAATTAAAAAATATAGGGTTACCGATTTGTTGAAGAAGATAATGAAATTGATGAATTAGAGCTATGTTGGAGACTGCCAGAGCTATTGCCGGAGCTTTCCGCCATCGCCGGACATCATCGCCGGATTCCACCACCGCCGTGGCCTAAGCCGCGGATCTCTCTTACTCTCGTTCGATTCCCCCTCTCCATGAGTGTCGATTCTCTTCAATTTATAGGAGCTTTGGACTTTCAATTTCTTCCCGTTGGAGCGTTTCGATGAGATTGGCGGAGAGACGTTGGGACGTGCTTGATTAGTCGCTGCGATCTACGAAGAGGAAGAAGTCACCGTAGACTTCATTTTTTCTTTTACCTTGTGCGAATCAAAAGACAAAGGAGGAATGGGCCAGTTCTTTTTGTTGATGATGGATTGGACTTCAACCCAATTATCATTGCTTTCTTTCAAACTTAAACTGTAACACCCCAACCCGCGTAACCCGAACCAACGGGTTAGCAAACCGGGTTATTACTAAGTTGGTATTCGTATCCATAATTTTTTTTAAATTAAACAATTAAATAAATTGCAAAAATTCATCCAAAGGGTTTTAAGCTAAACCAAAATTAATCGGAGTAATAAAACAAGTCCAAACGTCGCGGAAGCATAAGAAAAACCAAATATTATCTAACAGTCTGTTTAATCAAATAAAATATTGTTCATCTAAGCACTTTGACTCATCAAATTCTCTCAATGTGTAAGCCTAAATATAGTCATGTGTGATCTTGTTTGATTTGTCTTAACATATAGATTATTAATATATAATTTTTATAATTTTTTAATATACAAATTACAAGATAAAATGGATTAAAGAAGTGCATTGGATGGTGTGCCAAAAGGTAAGTGGACAAAGATAGTGAGACGGAGGGAGTATTATCTAACAGTCTGTTTAATCAAATAAAATATTGTTCAATTATTAAAAGAAAATGGGAGCCATCCACGCCACATCACCACTTCACTGCCCTCCGGGTTGCCCATCCAAACCCGTGTTTCTACCTGCGTGCAGTCAAACAACAACGACTACACGCTCAGCGAAATGCTGAGTGAAAATATACCTAAACCAGCATTAATTCACAGAATAACACCACGTTAACATACAATTAAACAACAACATGTGGTCACGGAGAAAAACAGCTTAAATAAATATATTTATATTAGCACCTTCCATTTGAACATCATATCATTATTTTATTTCATATCAACTAGCTTTGAGTCATGGCACCTCAAGCGATGCTATAAAAGGGCCAGCTCAGAAACCCAAAGGAGATTCACTTTGGGCGGGTTGAAGCCCCTGTCCCTACGATGCCAGGACAGGTCGCGGACTTTCGTACGTACATTTTTAACCCAAGACCACCGGGGGTGCGACGACGCCCCGCAATGGCCAATTTCCTAACCACATCCTATTGGTGATTCAATCAGTCAATCCAATTAAAGTCCACCTAATTATACTAGGTCGCCTATTTCTTATATATTATTCGTAATCCAAAATATTCACCAATAAGATCAGTTTAATTAAAATCTCAATTTACAATTCACAACAAATCACGTAGCGAAATATCCGGGTCGAAGACCCACGACTACCGTCATGCATAATTAACAAACCCAAATTACAATTAACCCAACTTACATGCGCGGAATCGAGCCCAAAGAATCGATCCTCAAGCCCGCTGCCCCCGCCGGAGCAGTCCCATTGTCACCAAACGAACCCCGGCACCACCGCCAGTAGCCGACCCAGCTGCCCGAGCCCGTAGTCCGACCAAACAGCCATATTGGGTGATTCACAGCAACCCGAACAATCCCAAACAGCCCCAATTGCATCCATTTGAGTCCAAACAGTCCCGATTACACCCAATTGCACCCGAACGGACCCGATTGAACCCAATTAGACCCAAATTGAATCCAATGGGAACTAATTGGACCCAGTTGGATCCCACACAACCAACCTAAGCCACTGTCGGAGCCTTGACCGGACTGCCGACATCCGCCGCCGGCGTCTCCTTGAAATCCGGCGGTGTTCAACCCCTAATTTCTTCAAACCCAACCAAATTCATCAATTAACAATCAAATTCGATCACAATCAATTACTAAATTATACGTTAAGGAAGTTCTAATCTATGAATTAACGCTAACGGAAGGTATAGAAACCACAAATCACCTCGAAAATCGACGAATTAACCTTGAATCAAAAGAATCAGGCCGCTGCAATTTTCCCCTTGTTTCGCGGGCCTGCTATGCGCGATGGAGGGACGGGACAGGGACGTCAGTTGGAACCGCTGGTGTGGACGGCGAGTCACGGCGGCGCTACGACCCTGATCGACGGAGACGAGCGGACAGCGTCCTTGTTTCAGTGACCAGACGAACAGCAACAGAGAGAGAGAGAGAGATGAACGGCGGCGATTGGCGATCCTCGACGGCGTCTCCGATCGGCGAACAGAGCAGGAGGAGCGGACGAACGAGAGAGAGATGGAGACGGCCGTCGCCTTGGCGCTGCGGGAAGGACAACAGATTGAGAAAAAAAATGTATGTCCCACTAAGTCCTGGCACATCCTTTTATAATTAAACATGTTTTAATGTCAATTTTTCACTTCCTAGTCCAATTGAGATAAGTTTGAGCCCAGCTTACTGATTCGTTAGCCGCATCTTGGGCCCAATAAGTCTGATTCACGATCTGTTTGCGCGGTCAGGTTCAGAGCAACGAGCTCTACAATGTAGGATTAACCCTCATTCATTAAGGCAAATTAGAAAATAATCTTCATATTAACCGGCTCAATAATAATTTAGTTTTTTTTTAAATTACCACGAGCGTCCACTTCAAGATGAAGAACTTAAACAAAGCCAAATCTTTAAAAAATCTAGGTAGCATCCAAGGGTGTTTTTGAGGGTATAGTCAAGTCCATAGGTTTTCTACATTTTCCTCTTTGTTCATGTGTTTATTTCGTTAATCTACTTCAATTTTAGTATTAGTGTGATTTTTTAGGGCTTGACCAGATTTGGAATTATTTTTAATCCTGTTACATGATTTTTATATGCTTTTTTTAAACATTCAAGCAAAATTTTATATGTTAATGGGTAGTTGATAATTTTGAGCTTCTCTTTGTTTCAGGTTAGTTGTTGTGATTTTGTTGCTATGGGATTGATGTACAGTCTTTGTTGTTGCACAACTGGTTCCGGTTGCTAGTTTTGTTGGTGTAGGCTTTTCTTTTTGAGAAATTTAACTAAATAGGACTAAAACATAATGGTTTTTCCAATGTAGGACCATATATTTTTATTTCCCAATGTAGGACCTTTGGTCATTATGAAGTAGTCATTATTCAAGTAAATGTCCATCATTACTGGACATTATTCCTCCCACTAGGTCATTATTAAGTCCTATTTAGGGAATAAAAAAGTTTAAGTCCTATATTAGGAAAGTCATTATGTTTTAGTCCTATTTAGTGCAAATTTCACTTTCTTTTTTATAGTCTGAGTATGTTCAAGGATTTAGTTTTTATTTTTTCTTGCAGCTTAATGACTTGGTTTTGGATAAGACCTTGGACACCTCATTCAAGTTTTGCAAAGCCATTGGTATTTTATGCCTCTGATGGAGACTATGGCGAATGGCTGTAAATTTAACTTTAGTTTGCTGGTATGAGGTATGAATAAGCTACCTATGTTCTATAGTTTAAAAGGCTACTGATCTAACTATAATATTGATTTGAGTATATGGCTTCAATGTTTTTGGTTTGAGCATATGGCTTCAATGTTGGAAAATTCTAATTGATGCTCGATTGCAACATGGTTCCTAGGTTGAAACTGATGAAGATTACAGCGGGGAAAATAAAAATAAAATAATCCGAACTTATAAAACGTTCGGATTTTACAACAAAATAAAAAAAAGAAAAAGAAAATTTGGAGTCTTCAGGAGCTCGAACGGACTTTTCTTCGGACGGAGAACAATGGGTCGCCGGAGATGTTTCTAGAACCGTAGGTAAGGAAAGCGGAGTCGCCGAAGCTTTCCTTAAGGTAGTATTGCCCGCCTCCCGCACTGGAAAACGTGGGCAATCTCCTCCCAGGATAAAACCGCAACGTGCTAAGTCTAGAGCGGTAGAACAGAGCACCGTCGAACGAGAACGACGCGAGTTATAGCCGGAGAAGGTGATCGGAAATAGGAGATGGTCGGAAAGTTATAACGCAGAGAGAGAGATTTTCGAATTTAGTGGTCTATTCCCTGCAGCCGAGACCTCCATTTATAGGAGAACAATTGGACCCTTCGCTGGACTTGTCGGATATTACGAAGAGTCGAATGACTCTTCATACGTAGTGCATGCGTTTAATTCGATCTCGTAAAAAGTTAGCCCCGCCCCGCCGCGGGCGCGCACGCGCGTGCCGGGCCGGACAGACGGAGGCGGCGGGCGCGCGAGGAGTCCTCTTCTTGTTCCTTTCATAAGCTCAATTCAATGCCTAAGCTTAAATATGAGAATACGAAAGGTTTAGAAACCGGTGTGGGACAAAGGCATTTACTCTACCTTAGTATTCAACTTTGAGAATTAATTTCTCATTCACCCGAGCACCGTTTATGACGTGTCATATGTCAATACGTTCGTCTTACTTACGAGATTAATCGTCCATAATTACTTTGGAAAATAATTTTGTGGACCCTACCGAATTTATGTCCGAAAATGTCCAATTTACTTTAAAATTTCCAACAATCCCCCACATGAATGAAAATTAATTCATGTAATTGGCAATAACTCTGAAGTTGAAACCTGCAAGAGTAGGTAGGTTTTATGCCTTTGAACCTGCTCTTTGTAAAGTATACCTTCTCTACTAGCTGTTCAGTAGAACATGATGTCTTTGAACTGTACTGCCGTTTGTGTAAACGACGATATACAATACACAAGTTTCAACCAACCATCATTCCGTTCTCATGGGTGTGCCCATTATGGTCGTGGAACACGCGTCTGGTTCTGCGAGAGTGTCAGACAGGATCAGCCCGAAATCTTTCTGTTGAAGCGACCGCACTTCACTCTTACATAGGTGATTCTTCTAAGAGTATCCCGATTACTCCACTTGGACCTCGTTGTCCATAGTTCAAGAATCATTAAAGCGCCATGCTAACCTCATCGTTTTCGGGAGTCACTATATCTCAGTAGGAACGGAGGGGTGTCAAGTCGGTGATTCGGCTTGCCCCCACAGTGACCGTGCTTCGTTCCACAAGTAGGTTGTCCCATTGAACCCAGGTACCACCTAGGTTGGGTTTTCCTTCATGGAACGTTCCCAGCACAGGGTAGGGCTCTTAGACCCATTCCTACTATTAACTTCTCATGTTGCTCATTGGTTAACCCTTTGGTTAATGGATCCTCTAAATTATTCTTTGACTTGACATAGTCAATCAAGATAATACCCGTATTGAGAAGTTGCCTGATGGTTTTGTGTCTACGGCGAATGTGCCTAGACTTACCATTATACAATTTGATCCGAGCTCGTCTTATTGCTGACTGACAGTCACAGTAAATGCAAATAGGAGGAACTGGTTTTTCCCAGTTTGGAATATCCTCAAGTAAATTCTGAAGCCATTCGGCATGTTCTGCACACTTGTCTAGTGCTATGAACTCAGACTCCATGGTGGATCTGGCAATTAACGTTTGTTTTGAGGATTTCCAGGAAACAGCTGCACCGGCTAGCATAAAGATAAATCCACTTCTGGATTTTGAATCCTTATTATCCGCAATCCAATTGGCATCAGTGTATCCTTCCAGCACGGGTGGATACCTGCCGTAGCATAGGCTATGATCTCGAGTATACCGAAGGTATCTCATTACTCGGACTATGGCCTTCCAGTGCTCAGCACTCGGATTGCTAGTATACCTACATAGTTTGCTAATGGCGCAAGCTAAGTCTGGCCGTGTGCAGCTCATCAGATACATCAGACTTCCGATAACTCTAGCGTATTCCGTCTGAGAATCGCTACTTCCTCGGTGTTTACCAAGGTGAACATTTACGTCTATCGTTGTCTTAGCTATCTTAGTATCATCCTTATTGAATTTATTAAGGATTTTGTCAATGTAGTGGGATTGACTCAAACTCAGACCATCAGGTCTTCTTATTATTTTGATTCCAAGAATCACATCAGCCAGACCCAAATCTTTCATATCGAATCGTGCGTTCAACATGTCCTTGGTGGACTTAACCATCCTATCGTTGCTTCCAACGATGAGTATGTCGTCTACATACAGACACAAAATAACATATCCTTCAGATGTGTCCTTAAAGTAAACGCACTTATCCGACTCATTTATCTTAAAACCGTTGTTCATCATTACCCCGTCAAACTTATCGTGCCATTGTTTTGGCGCTTGTTTAAGACCGTATAATGATTTCACAAGTTTGCAGACCTTCTTTTCTTGGCCCGGAACCTTAAACCCCTCGGGTTGTTCCATATAGATTTCTTCATCTAGTTCGCCATTTAGAAAAGCAGTCTTTACATCCATTTGGTAAACATCCAGGTTTCGTAAGGATGCAAATGCGATGATCATTCTGATAGAATCTATCCTAGTCACAAGCGCGTAAGTATCAAAGTAGTCATAGCCCTCGCGTTGGCTATACCCCTTGATCACAAGTCTAGCTTTGTACTTGTCAATGGAGCCGTCAGGCTTCATTTTCCTCCGAAAGACCCATTTAGAACCCAATGGTTTACACCCCGGAGGGAGATCAACCAATTCCCACGTGTGATTCTGAAGAATAGAATCAACTTCACTTTTTATGGCTTCTCGCCACTGAGGTCCCTCAGTTGAGGTTACGGCCTCGTGATAGGTTCGTGGTTCCTTTTCTACCAAACAGGTTAGAATATCGGGTTCGTTTTCCATTAGAAATGACAAAGTTCCTTTGTCAAATTCTATCAGATATGTTATGAAGTCAGAACCGAACGTCTTTTCAGTTCGTATTCTTTTACTTCGTCTCAGTTTAGTCTCATGTTCGACTTCATCATCGTCATCGGAATTCAACTGACTTGGATCATCATTATCCATCATCTCAGTATGAGAACGTTTGGACGAACTGGCTTCGTCACTTGACTTGCACGGAAAAATGTGCTCGAAAAACGTTGCATTCCATGACTCAATGATTGTGTTCTTGTGAATTTCAGGATTATCTGATTTGTACACCAAGAACCGGTACGACGTACTATTGTACCCGATGAAGATTCCATCAACTGTTTTTGGACCGATCTTCATCTTCTTTGGTGGTGGTGCAAGTACTTTCGCGAGCCACCCCCACACTTTGAGATACTTATAGGAAGGTTTCCTATTATGCCAAAGTTCGTACGGAGTTTTGTCAAGTTTCTTACGAGGTATTTTATTTAGTAAATAATTACTTGATAAAACAGCCTCCCCCACATGTTCTCGGGTAATCCAGAACTAAGCAGCATTGCATTCATCATGTCTTTTAAAGTACGATTTTTGCGCTCCGCTACTCCGTTAGACTGTGGTGTATACGGTGGGGTTACTTGATGCACAATTCCATGTTGTGCACAAAACTTATTAAGTGGAGCATCATACTCACCACCTCTATCGCTTCTCAATGCTTTTATCTTGTGATTGAGTTGATTTTCCACTTCATTCTTATATCGAATAAAAGTGTCTAACGCTTCATCTTTACTTTTTAGTAAATAGATATAGCAATATTTCGTGCTATCATCGACGAAGGTAATAAAGTACTTATTACCCCCTCTTGAAGGCGTTGTTCGAAAATCACACAAGTCGGTGTGAACCAACTCTAGAGGTTAAGTATTTCGTTCGATCGTTTGAAACGAACTTCGAGTTGACTTAGCCTCAACGCAAGTTTCACACTTGTGGGTTAAGTCAGTACTAAACTTAGGTATGTGTTCCATGTTAATTAATTTCCTGAGAGATGCATAATTAACATGTCCTAAACACGGGTTTATCACGTTTTCGTACTAAAGCCTTGTTCGTTGTTATGACAGGTTTTGATAATGCCAAACCGCCGTGAACGAGACAAGTCATTGAATATACAAGGCGAGAACCAAAGATGAGAAGAAAGAGAACAAGGGCCAAAAGAAGACCAAGAACGAAGACCGTAGTCTTAGTGTCGTTGAGTCGGTCACAATTGTGATCAAGACCGACCCAATCTTTACACCTTGGCTCTTTAGGCTAAAATTCTTTTCATTGCATTTCACATCATAAAAATGTTTTTAAAACATGTTTAAAACATTAAAAACACTTGGTGTTCTCCCAAACCAAAAACCAAGCCATCCGGCGTTCGGGTTTCAGAAACCGGCGTTCGTCATTCGGTTTTCGGCGTTGGTTTTTGGCGTCCGAACTAACCAAGTGGTTTTTCAACTTTTTATGATTGGTTTTTACTTCTGGGCACATTTAAATAGTTTTCCATCAAAAACACTTCAAAAACCACCTTTCGTTTTTTGTCATTTGATAAAAACCATGCGAAACGGCATAAACTTGGCTAGCCGTTGTTTTTACTTAAATGAAGTGGTTTTCAAGT